TTATGATTGCGTGTTTCTGATTGTGTTATTGTGTTTGTATTTGTGTGTCTGTGATTGTGTGTTTGTGGTTGTGTTTGTGGTTATGTGTTTGTGAGTGTCTCTTTGTAGTTGTGTTTGTAGTTGTGTGTTTGTGATTGTTTTTGTGATTGTGTGTTTGTGATTGTGTGTTTATGCTTGTGTTTGTGGTTGTGTGCTTGTGGTTGTGTGTTTGTGGCTGTGTGTTTGTGATTGTGTATTTCTGGTTGTGTTTGTGGTTGTGTTTGTGGTTGTGTGTGTGTTTGTGGTTGTGTGTTTGTAGTTGTGTCTTTGTGATTGTCTCTTTGTAGTTGTGCTTGTAGTTGTGTGTTTGTAACTGTGTGTTTCTGACTGTGCTTGTGATTGTGTTTCTGATTCTGTTTGTGGTTGTGTGTTTGTGGTTGTGTGTTTGTTGTTCTGCTTGTAATTGTGTGTTGAGGTCCGGCGGGGGACACTGGGCGCAGATGGTCGTGGTTGAGGTCCGGCAGGGAACACTGGGAGCGGATGGTCGTGGTTGAGGTCCGGCGGGGAACACTGGGCGCGGATGGTCGTGGTTGAGGTCCGGCAGGGAACACTGGGCACGGATGGTCGTGGTTGAGGTCCGGCGGGGAACACTGGGCGCGGATGGTCATGGTTGAGGTGGTCCGGCAGGGAACACTGGGCGTGGATGATCGTGGTTGAGGTCAGGCGGAGGAGGACGAGGAGGAGGAGAGCGAGAAGGAGGAGGCGGAGGATGAGGAGGAGGAGGGGAAGGAGGAGGAGGAGGAGATGGGGCTGACATAAAATCTATAACAACCCTCACCTGACAGGTGGGGAAAGAAAGTAATAATAAAACTGCATCACCTGCATGGATCTACTGCTCCAACCGGAACAAAAATAGGACATATTCCCCGTGGGGATTTCCATGGATTTACCCGGGAAAATCAACATACAATCCGCCAAACGAACCGGTTGAGTCAGTGACTTCCGTGGTTTCCACCGTGGTGGACACCGTGGTGTCCGCATCACTCGACCCATCCGAACCCGAGTGACTCCACTGGCGGCGTCCTGTTCCTGCCGCTTGATCAGAATGACCTGCGCTGCCCGATGTGGGACCAGCTAGACCAGCTGCGGAGGTGAGAGTGTGGGAGCAATTGATGGACCACATGGAAGGAATTGATATGAATAAAACAATATATAAAACGTTTGAGTGATTCTTCAATGATTCTTGTTACTGGGGCTCTTTGGGGCACTGAGCTAGACTTCAGACGTGGTCCCGCCTTGCTGAGAGCTTCATTGTACTCCCTGAAGTGCAAGCACTCCTGCTTGAAGGCAACTGTTTCGGCCGGCAGTACGTCCCAGGCGAAACTATTGCCGAAACAGCTCGGAAACAAAGGAAATGAAAATGGTCCAAGCCCAGGGGTCTGGAGTGTTCACTATGCCGGCCAAGTCTTCTAGCAGCTCTGAAGATGGTTCACTTGAGGATGTCAGGATACCTCTGGTAACAAGACATGGGTGTGTATGTATATTATACATATTACATCTTCATCGATCGTCAACTTTCAGAGCTCATGTATGATCTGTTCTTCTCTTTTGGAACCTTCACGGTGGATCCAACTTCTAGGGGAATACCGCAGTCGTCTCCAGTGCGGGACGTCCGGACGTCATGGCCGACCGAAGAGGCGAAACGATGCGAAGCTTGTTCCTATATAGTAATGGCCTCCAACCTACCTATGACCGCGATGGCCTTCAGCTATATAGTAGCTTCTTGTTAGAAAAATGACTGACGTGCGTGTTGAAGAATCTCTGAGCAACTCCTCCAAATCACTGGTCGTTCGCTTCCAAAAACCACATGATCAACTCAGTCCTCACGGAGCCTATGCAGCCTGCGGTTCGCAGGCATGTCTGATCAAAGATTGACCGGAGGACCAGCTGGTTGGTTCGTGACCAGCGGTCTTTGAATCATTTGGAATCAGTGTTTCGGAGTGAGTCCTGGAGCACTTCACCATGTAGCAAACTGAGTAGCGATACAATACACACTCATGAGGTAGACTCTGGATCCCTCATGATCCCTCTTGTAGCAAACCGAGTACTTGACGATGTTCGAGTCAATCACCAAACACACTCCATATGAACTGGCATAGGTGCCTACATTGGCCCCGGGCCAACCACCCCAGATATATGCAAATATGCCAGTCCCATGGAATATACTTGGGTCCGCTTCCTTCCCGACGGTTCCTGGTGCCGATCTTGGGGAGTTCGCAAGTCCGGTGTCGTCCGGTCAGCTGCTATGAGCCCCAAACAAGCCTCCCGTAGCCATGCTCTAGCCTTGAAATCCCTTCGTTTAGACCCAGTGCAAGAAGTAACATGGCAGAAAACCTGGCGTTTCTTCAGTGTTCTACCCGCTGGTCATCGACGAGACGGAACAGCCCTGTGAGGACAATGATCTGGCCATTGGCCGCTCGTCACTTGTCATGTCCATCTGAAAGACCAGTAGTGTATGATGTACGTGGTTTTCAGATGTTTTCAGGACCTCACCCAACCTCATTGACCATGTTCGACCATGTGATGGATGTCCATCACACAGTACTCCCTCCATCTCTGTTCTTCACAGGTATTTTGAGGGCCATAGTCTATTGTATGTCAATTGATCCAACCATCGGAACCCTTCCATGGTCGCATGATGTTGCATGGCACCTACGCCGCTGAATCCAGAACCTCTTCTCCAGGACTCTGAGGGTCTGAAAGAGAAACCACCCCGAACCGCCTAAGCCGCTCCAACACCATCTGATCCCAACAGCTCCGTCAGTGTTTTTCCGGGCTGCGGCTGAGCCATGCTGGCACGAATAGACATCCAACAACGGACCATGGATTTAACAAGACATCAGGCTGCAGAAGGAGATGGCACCATTGGAGTAGTAGTAGGACCGAACAAGTAACAACTCTACACCAGCTGGACTTGTTATCCCAGCAAAGCTTTCTCACCATCCAGCTGGGCTTTCCGTGCTCGGCCAGTTGCGTCACCTGGAAGATTGGAAGATGGGGAGACGACTGAAGATCCAATGGCGCAATCGCATTTCAGCGATTGGACATGAGACCACTGAAGATTAGAAGATTGCACAGAATCCAGGTTTTTCAGAGATAGCGGCCGTGTTTTGCTTCCTCGTTGTGTTGGGCTTGAGTGTCTCTCGATGGACACGAAATCCTGAAGGCAGAGGCCACTCATTCAAAATCTGCATGGGAAAGTTCCACTCGTGAACGCGAAACACTTGCAATTGCTCTCTGCCGCGTTTGGAAAGTCTTCCAATAGACATCGATAGACCAGAATAGAATACAAACTGGACAAATGCATAAAAAGGCCATCTCCGATTGCGACAGATTCCAAAGTCATATGCCAAAACTCATGTGTACGTTGTATTCTGCCAACGCATGAACCTGGATCCGCCTTTGGATCATACTCCCCCACCAAGAGGGCATGGAACTTCCGTGTCCCACTGCCCCAGCTAGTTCGGACCTACTCACTGGCACACGCCTGGCGCCCAAATCGCATGCGGGGTCGTTGTTTTCCGTGCACCAGCGAGGCGTTTTGATCGGGGGAGAACAAGCTGACACGGAGAGCTTCGCAAGCTTGGTGTTGCTTGGCATGTCCCCAACTGGGCTTGCTTGGCGTTGCTCGAGTTTCGCACGCCGCTCAAATCCCACGGACGACTCCTGCGGCATTCGTTTCCCAAGGGCCGGACCGCCATGGGCGCACGTCGTCGGCGAAGTGGACAGCCTAGCGATTTTGCTTCAGCCACAGCTCTATCATTTGAAGCAAAGCTGATGGAAGAAGCTGAGTACCTTTTCAGACTTTTGATATATAGTATAAAATCCGATGACATCCACAACAAAATATATAGTATGTATTCTAGTTCGGGACCACTCTGCTATGCTGAGTGCCCCATCTCGGACTCGACCCGTCCGAAGCGTGTGCGTATCATGTACGTATTATTCATATATCATCATATATATATATATCAAAGGCGTTGTTTTCTTTAGAAAAGGGATTCCAACGACCAACGACCGTCAAACGACCTCAGCCAGGCTTCGGACCAAGACCTCGTAGCCCCACCAATCCCCCTGGACGACTTGCGAGGCGGCTCCAAGACCATCCACACAACATGTGAAGGCGAAAAAGGCCGCCATCAGCACCGTTCGCTATTAAGTCCTCATGAGACATCATGGGTCTGGGCGCACAAAGAACACATCTAGTCTCCAAGGTCAGGGATTCTTTTTTTGAAACGCCAAGGTCGGGAGTTCTGGCTTCCCGATGTCTCCAAACTTGACGAGAAAGCTAACATCTCGATGTCGTCGCGCCTGGCACCTTCCACACGGGAAGGTCAGGCCAAGGTCCATGATCCGATGCAATGAATTCAAAGGAAGCTTTTTCTTTCACATCATTTGGTAGGAATACGGCTCATGTTGTGTGTAGACTTAGGCTGTTTCAATAGTACATGCAACATATGATACTCAAATGTTCACATTCTTGTTGACACTCCTTGCAATCTGCGTGGACCTTAACACTGCTGGGGTGTTGAAAAGATGTTCTTCACGTTCTTTCTGTGTTGATACCAGTTGCTGAACATTTGCTTCTTAGGCTATACATCTTGATGTCCAATTCAACCTTCGGTTTTGGACTGAGGAAACTAAATCTGCCACCTGGACCTTGCTGTCACCTGGACTTCCTGAGTGATAAAAAATGCGTGCAAGAAGATGAACATGAAATCATGCAAAGCAACTTTACATTGCCCTAAGTCAAAACCATGGCCAACAACTCAAGAATGGGAGAGAACAAGAGTCGACTATACAATTGAATGCTCATCAAGGTTACGGGCCCCCTGTAAGTCTACAAATTGAGATCAGCAACTCCCTACTACTAAGAACATTGGATCATCCAACCACCCAAGCCCTTCACCTCGGCAACTCAAACCCCCTCCACCGATCACGAGCTTCAGTTTTCTGGTGCGTCAGTCGATGCTCTCCAAATACAACAGTGGCTCAAAGCTATTGGATGGCCAAGGCACTTTGGCCTCAAATTCCAGCCATGGGAGGTTCTGATCCTGTGAACACACACCAAGTGGCCAAAAAGGATTGGCCAGGACATTCGGGGGGGACTTTTGACATGTCAGAGCTAGTTTGGGATCTTCCACATTGTATTGGGTGTCATGATCTTCCGCGAGAAAAGTAGGGGTGATTGTGTTGTAGGATCTTAGAGATAAGAAGTGATGTTGGACCATTTTGAGAAGGCGTGCTGGCTCCAGAGACCGGGAGTATACCAGGTGTCCCATGGTCAAGAAAATGAGGCGACTTTCATCTACTTTCCTATCGCTTGGGATTCCCCAATCAACTCTGCGACCTACGAGAGAGCATACACTTACACCACACACAGACACACACTGACTCATACACAGGCTGATTACAGAAGATAGAAATGCAAGAAGATATCCCCCCTTCAAAATGGACCCATGTAAGACTATTCTCATCTACCACCCAATGGTTTTCAGGGACTATGAAACCGTCATATCAAATTGATCCTTTAAGTTTTATTACGTTCATGATCTTTAATGAACCCATATCTGATCCATTAATCAAAGGAACAAATCATTACATAAACTCATGTCTCTATTCATACGAGTGATTGTGATCCCAGTCGCTCCATGGACTGAGCTCATGGCATCGTCCCGTCCTTGGACTCGTCCAGGATCTCACCAAAAACTTGGAAGCCATCCTCCAAATCCTGCCGAAAGAGAAACATGGATTGGTTTAAGGGATCCATCTACAGGAAACTATGGTTTTCACCCCGGAAACCATGGCTTTCCTTCCTGTAGATTTGTCCATCAAATTCCGGGATGAAAGGATTTCTATGGGTTTTTCTGCATTCTGTGTGACAGACTGGGCCTGGGATGGCTAAAGGGTCCCGTCTTTTCTAGATGGCACGTGCAAGCTATTCGCCAGAGAAACACTTTACCAGCAGACGAGCGCTATAGCTCCACCCGTCCTGCGACAAGCTCAATGTAAAGAAGAACTGTGCAGAATTGTGTGCAGGAATGTCGTACAGTAGATTACCCAGTAGATCTCAACCTACCCTTCTGCCATCTACAGGTACATAATGGACTTACCGCCTGATCACCTTCCACTTCTTGCAAAATGGATGCAGAACACGGGAGCTCAAGCAAGATCAATCTATTCAACCCTCTCCCACATTGGGTTCCTGGATGGGTAAGTAAACATTCGAGGGCCTTCATCTTCAGGATCCCACATGTACAGAAGAATATGTCGGTCGGTTCTCAACTTCAAGAGATTAGAGGTCAAAAATGACACATTCATTCCATCAAAGATGCCAAAACACGGGTTGGTCTCCTTAAAACATATTAAACCTGGAGTTTGCTCACCAACCTTGAAGGCTGCAAATTAGACCTCTGGAATTTGACGGTGTTCCTATTGATTCCTATTGCAACCTCTTGGTGAGTGTGTGTGTGTGTACCCGGACACGTGGAAATTCTAACACCAAAAACACAAATTCAGACGAAAAAACGGGTTGTTGATGAGGTTTGTCTTGGGACGGATGGGCTTCCCCTACATTCGAGTTGTCTCAGACCAAGTTTTCTTCTGGTACAGCAGAGATATGCAAGGAAGGCAAGGGAAGAGAGAGACTTATCATAATCCATATCAATACCCCTGCAAACCGCCCACCAAGTCTGTTTCTCTCTTCGCTGGCGAACTGGACGACCCAGTGGCAAACACGTCATTCTCCGTTGAAGCAGTCGTGGATCACACCGTGCAAGGGCTGCAGAATGGGGGATACATCCATCATCCATCCAAGGATGGCTGCGGATGGCTGCGCCATGTAACAGGCCCCCTGAACCATCGCACCATCCGCATGAGAGGTACAGCGACTGTTCTCAAGAACACCCAGCAGCAGCTCGCGCGACGCGCCAGTCCTCGAGCTCAACCTGAATGTTCGCCTGCGAGGAGTGGCTGACGGCAAAGCCAGCTGACATTGTTTCTCGTTTTGGCAGGTGCTTTGATTCCACTGTTTCCAAATGGGAGGATGTTAGAAAGTGGGTTGACTTCCGATCAGGTGGCACACAGTGTCCTCTGGAATCGACTGAATGTCCAATAATATCAATAATACCTTTGACAGGTCCTCATACCTAGACATCTCATGGAACATCATGGAACTATACTGGACAACAAGTTCTGATAGTTGCATGCGGTCTTTGATGCGGTTGATCACGGTTGACGTCGTTTTCAGGCATTTTCCAGTGTGGACTATTGCATCCTACTTTGTCTCGTTCGTCGGGACCAGAAACTGAAGGGTAATTACGGACCCCAAAGAAGAAGTAGCGGCCAATACAGCACACTGGTCAAGCCCAAAACGTCAGACTTACACAAGTACTACTTAAGGTATAGGTTGCGTGTGTGTGTGTCACCTGTTTGAATGGCTGGCGCTCCCCTCCCCTCACTAACCCCTCTCCTTCCACTCCGAGGACCTCCGGAAGTCGACCCGGAGGTCGTGCCATCCCTGAAACCACCATGTTGCCCAGAAAGCAACATGCTGAGGGCGAACGAGAAACATGCACTGGGATTTTGGGCCTTTCGGGCTCAACTCATCGTCTTTCAAAACAAACTCATCAGCTCATGGCACGCATCATGCCCGCAACGCATCAACACATCATCCGCATCATGCACGTAGCGCATCAGCTCATCATCCACATCATAACGCATCAGCGTATCGTCTCCATATCCGTAACGCATCAGCTCATCATCATCATCATCATCATCATCATCA